AAGCCAAGGTTGTGTCATGAAGCTATAAATCTAGAAGGGGACTGTGCGAGATGATGTGCGGTGTCTTGGTCTGTTCCTTACCATCCAGGAAAGGTTGTTTCCTCAGCCATTTTAAAAAGCAACAGAATGGGAGGGGGCGCCTGGGTGGCTCAGTCGGTTGAGTGTCTGACTCTTGATTTCAGCTCTGGTCATGATCTCAGGGTGGTGGGATTGAGCCCCGCGTGGGGGTCTGTGTTGAGTATAGAGCCTGCTGTCCCTCTCCCTCTGCTCCTCGCCCGGTTTGCGCACAGGCATTCTCTCTCTCTCTCTCTCATAAATAAATAAAATCTTTTTTAAACAAGATCAACAGAATGGTGTGGGGGGAGCACCTGGCTGGCTCAGTCAGTGCAGTACATGACTCTTGATCCTGGGGTTGTGGGTTTGAGCCCCACATTGGGTCTATGTAGAGATTACTTAAAAAAATAAAATCTTAAAAAAAAAAATCAATAGCATTTGGGCCTTGCTTTTAAGAAATACCTCTCATTCTTTCTGAGCTAGTTCACTTTTTAAGGCCTTGCCCTTATCTTACAGTCCTTTCTAGAGGTGGGAGGGAGCTGTTTGGTACTGAATTCCTAAAAGCCGCTCACACCCTTGAAAGATGTCAGTCTCCCGTCAACCCCCTTTCCCAGGAGCAAGTGGCCTTCCACACCCCCTCTTCTCACACACCGCTGCTCCAGTCTGCTTACTGTCCTTGTTACTTACGACTGGGCCCCCTGTGGTTCTCCCTCCCTTCAGCTCCAAGTCTGAAACTGTACAGGACATTCTCTAAGGAAAACCTGACCGGTTCATCAGTACAATTACTCCCTGACTTTCAGGACTGACACACTGGTGTTCACTTTTTAACAAATGGCATTGTGTTGTCTGCTATCTCTTGTGAGCCCCTGGTTTTGAACTGAAATCTTCATGCTGTGAGTAGGGAGTTACTCTCCCTCTACCCCCAAGAGAACATAGCTTTTATATGTCCCTGATCTAATGGATATGTAATTTAATTTATCATATCCAGTGGATACGAAATCCAATACAAAACCCTTAATAGATAGTTTTGCATCTCAGCTATTGAATTATACATCCCCAGTGTGATTGGGTGGTAAGCAAAATGCTGGTATGATTTTATTCTCAAAGGATGTGAGCCAGACCCAGCTATGTTGGTGCTGTGGATTGGCATCATCACAGTGAGCCTCCACTGGTGGGGAGAATTCATCCTGCTAAGAGAGGACATTTCTGCAGAGCAGGCCCATGATGTCCCAGAGAGAGTATTTGTAATTTTCCGGTCCTTAGTATGTGCCAGACACCATGCTAAGTACTTAATGTCAGTGATTATTAAACCTTAAGAGAGTTAAGTTCCATTTGGGCCAGAAAAAGAGAAGAATCTCTTTTGCAGGAATGTGTCCAGGAAAAAATGGAACTGACAGATTGCCTGGTATGTCTGACTGTAGTGAGAGAAGTTTTAGAGTCGGGTAGAGAGTTCAGGGATAGCACTGTAGTAGGCACATAGAAAACTAACCAAGTGTTCTCCCTCTCCCATTCCCCCTGCTTGTGTTCCCTCTCTCACTGTGTCTTTCTCTGTCAGATAAATAAATAAAATCTTTTTAAAAAGGGGGGGGGGCACCGGGGTGGCTCAGTCGTTAAGCATCTGCCTTTGGCTCAGGTCATGATTCTAGGGTCCTGGGATCGAGTCCCGCATCAGGCTCCCTACTCAGCAGGAAAGCCTGCTTCTCCCTCTCCCACTCCCCCTGCTTGTGTTCCCTCTCTTACTGTGTCTTTCTCTGTCAGATAAATAAATAAAATCTTTTTAAAAAGGGGGGGGGCGCCTGGGTGGCTCAGATGGTTAAGCGTCTGCCTTCGGCTCAGGTCACGATCCCAGGGTCCTGGGATCGAGCCCCACGTTGGGCTCCCTGCTCAGCAGGAAGCCCGCTTCTCCCTCTCCCACTCGCCCTGCTTGTGTTCCCTCTCTCGCTGTGTCTTTCTCTGTCAAATAAATAAATAAAATCTTTAAAAAAAAAAAAAAAGAAAACTAACCAAGTGAAAATCAAGGCAAAACAAAGCTCTACAAATAAATGTATGTACTCATGAGCTCCTGTGTGGCTCAGCTACTTAAAATATACACAGAGATTTGGGGCACAGTCACTTGAGTGTCCAACTCTTGATTTCGGCTCGGGTCATGATCTCAGGGTCATACGATCAAACCCTGTGTTCAGCTTCATGCTGGGCATGGAGCCTGCCCCGGATTCTTTCTCTCTCAAAAAAAAAATTTTTTTTTTTTTAAATATATATGTGGAGATTTTAGAATGTACACACCAAATACTGACTTAAGCAAAAATTATGATATAACTTGAATTAGAGTCCAGCCAGGAAAATAGGAATTCAGGTCTTTAAAACCAAGAGAATTTAATCCAGGGAATTGGTTATGTAGGTGATTGAGGTGAGAAGCCAAACAGGAGACAGTGAGGCTACCAGAGATGAGCAGCAACAGGAAGCTGTTGCCATCCCTAGACCAGAAAGGCAGAGGGAGGAGCCTCTGTATCGGAGCCCAGTGGCCAGGATGGTGGCAGCTAAATTCTGATCTCCTATAGAAGAAAGTCACTAGGTCATGCTTAAAATGAAAAAGCATCCTAACCACAGCAATAAGACAACAAAAAGAAAAGGCACCCAGATCAGTAAGGAAGAAGTAACACTGTCACTATTGGCAGATGACATGGTACTACATATAGAGAACCTGAAAGACTCCACCAAAAACTGCTAGGACTGACAGACAAATTCAGTAAAGTTGGCAGGACACAAAATCAACGTACAGAAGTCTGTTGCATTTCAATATACCAGGAACGGAGCAGCAGAAAAAGAAATGAAGGCATCAGTCCCATTTACAGTTGCACCAAAAACAGTAAGATACCTCGGAATAAGCCTAGCCAAAGAGGGGAAAGCCTTTGTACTCTGAAAGCTATAAAACGCTGATGAAAGAAATTGAAGATGACACCAAGAGGTGGAAAGACATTCCATGTTCATGGATTAGAAGAACAAATATTGTTAAAACGTCTATACTACCTGAAGCAATCTACACATTTAATGCAATCCCTATCAAAATACCAACAGCATTTTTCACTGAACTAGAACAAACAATTCTAAAATGTATATGGAACCACAAAAGACCCCAAAGAGCCAAAGCAATCTTGAAAAAGAAGAGCAAAGCTGGAGGCATCACGATTCCAGACTTCAGGTTCTATTCCAAAGCCACAGTAATCGGAACAGTATGGTATTGGCACAAAAATAGACCTGAAGATCAATGAAACAGAATAGAAAATTCAGAAATGAACCCACAATTATAATGGTCAATTAATCTTCGACAAAGCAGGAAAGAATATCCAATGAGGAAAAGACTGTCTCTTCAACAAATGGTGTTGGGAAAACTGGACAGCGACATGCAAAAGAATGAAACTGGACCATTCTCCTCACCATACACAAAAGTAAATTCAAAATGTATTAAAGACCTAAATGTGAGACCTGAAACCATAAAAGTCCTCGAAGAAAGCATAAACAGTAATTTCTCTGACATCGGCTGTCTTTTTTCTAGATAGGTCTCCTGAAGCAAGGGAGACCAAAGCAAAAATAAACTACTGGGACTACATCAAAATAAAAAGCTTCTGCATAATCAAAAGAAATAGTCAACAAAACTAAAAGGTAACCTATGGAATGGAAGAAGATATTTGCAAATGACATCCAATAAAGGGTAAGTAACCAAAATATATAAAGAACTTATAAACTCAACACCCAGAGAAGAAATAATCCAATTTAAAAATGGGCAGAAGACATTAATAGACATTTTTCCAAAGAAGACATACAGGTGGCCAACAGACATAAAAAGATGCTCAACATCACTGATCATCAGGGAAATACAAATCAAAACTACAATGAGATATCATCTCACATCTGTCAGAATGACCAAAATCAATAACACAGGTGTTGGTGAGGATGTGGAGAAAGGGGAACCCTCTTGCACTGTTGGTGGGAATGTAAACTGGTGTAGCCACTTTGGAAAACAGTATGGAGGTTCCTCAAAAAGTTAAAAAAAGGAACTATCCTACAATCCAGTAATCTCACTACTAAATATTTACCCAAAGAATATAAAAATACTAATTCAAAGGAATACATGCACCCCAATGTTTGTAGCAGCATTATTTACAATAGCCAAATTACGGAAGCAACCCAAGTATCCATCAGTTGATGAACAGATAAAGAATGGATAAAAGAAAAAATATGCCTGTGCACACACACACACAGGAATATTATTCAGATGTAAAAAAGAATGAAATCTTGCCATTTGCAGCTACATGGATGAAGCTAGAGAGTATTATGCCAAGTGAAGTAAGCCAGAGAAAGACAAATACCATATGATTTCACTTATACGTGGAATTTAAGAAATAAATGAGCAAAGGGGGGAGGGGGGAGAGAGGAGAACAAACCAAAAAAAAAAAAAAGACTGCTAACTATAGAGAATACACTGGTCTGCTGGTCACCAGAGGGGAGGTGGGTGGGGGGATGGGTGAAATAGGTGATGGAGATTCAGGAATGTTCTTGTTGTGAGGAGCACTGGATGTTGTACAGAATTGTTGAATCACTATATTGTACAACTGAAAGTGATATTACACTGTATGTTAACTAACCAGAATTTAAATAAAAGCTTAAAAAAATGAAATAAAAAAGCAAGAACTAGCATTAAAAACATATCATGTAGAAATATGGAGGTAAATACCAGAAGAAAGCACTAAAAACTGGTTGGCCATGAGAGGCAAAAGGAGGAACAAGGGAGTAGTATTTTTTGTAAAAAGACTTATAAATCCCATTTGCCTTCTTGACTATATTGCATTGATAAACAGCTGAAGAGAGAAGTCTTTAGTACACTGTAGATTTGTGTTTCTTTGACTAAGGTTCCAGTTCATTTGTGTGCATTTCTTTTTCCCACTTAGATATGTTGATGATGTGATCAGCCGCATTGACAGGATGTTTCCTGAAATGTCCATCCACTTATCCAGGCCCAATGGCACATCAGCAATGCTTCTGGTAAGTTCTGCTTGACCTGTCTGTAGGGTCATGTGGAAGAAGACTAGCCTCAACATTGTCTCTGGCTCTGTCGTAGGATCTAGAGAACGGAGACTAAATCCCGGTTTGATGGTGAATAGCATATTTCTTTTCACTGGTATCCTGTAGTTTCAAAATTCTGCACATTGAAACTTGGCTTTTGAATGAAATTGCAGAGCCATGTAAGAATGACCTAGAGAGGAAATACACTGTAAGACCATTCCACCTGTAAGTCAGTTCAGGATGTTTTGGTGAATCTTTTATATTGTCTCAAAGAAATGCCCAACTAGGGGCACCTGGGTGGCTCAGATGGTTAAGCGTCTGCCTTCGGCTCAGGTCACGATCCCAGGGTCCTGGGATCGAGTCCCGCATCGGGCTTCCTGCTAGGCGGGGATCCTGCTTCTCCCTCTGCCTCTGCCTCTCTCTCTCTCTCTGACTCTCATGAATAAATAAATAAAAAACTAAAAAAAAAAAAAAAAAAAAGAAAGAAATGCCCAACTATTGGATCCTGCTAAGAAAAACACCATCTTAAAATAGAACCAGGTTCAGGGTGCCTGAGTGGTTTAGTCGGTTGAGCGTCCGACTCTTGATTTCGGCTCAGGTCATGATCTCATGGGTCGTGAGATGGAGCCCTGTGTCGGGTTCCACACTCAGCACAGAGTCTGCTTGAGATTCTCTCTCTCCCTCTGCCCCTCCCCTGCTCACTCGCACCCCCCCCATAAATAAATAAATAAAATCTAAAAAAAAAAAAATAGAACCAGGTTCTGTGGAAAATCGCTTATAAAATCCATCATGTATTTGAAGAAAGTATTCTGAGACCTTATCATTGATGATTTCCAATTTTGTTGTTTTGATTTTGAGTTGCTCTGAGCAAGTTGGCCTCACACCCGCACCACTGATGTTTGCATTTGCATGAATTCACCAAAGGCAGGTGTGATTGGGAAATATAGTGGAACAGAAATGCTAAGTTTTATTACTAATTAGAAAGGCATAGACACCTCAGGGATGTGAAGCTTTTCTAGCACTCTGATAATGTGTGCTTGAAGAATACTTCTCTGAACACAGATTTTGAGGAGCCACCACATTTTACAAAAAGCAGAATTAATCGAATCAAGAGTGATGGTTTTTCATGGGCATCAGGGAGGTGAGCTTCAGGACTGAGTGTTTTTTGTGTCTTGTCAGTTGCTGCTGCTTTGGGGCCTCTTGTGAACTCCCTATACTTCAGCGTTTTACTTTTGCAGAATCTTATGAAGAGCCAGTCACCCAGGATGAGCCACGATCCCTCCAGCTGTTCACCTGAGGAGAACGGGCTTACTGTGTGCGCGGGTGTGGTTTTCTCTTAAGAAAGGAAGAGATGTGGGCTTATCAAATGGGTGTTATTTCTTTTGTGAGAAAAAATTAGTGAACATTGGGTATCGTGCTACTTTAAATTCTTTCAGTTAAAAAGTACAGTGAATGAGTTAATACAGTGTTCTTTAATAGAAAAAGAAAACAATTTGTATCTGTCTACAAAACATGCACTATCTTTTGCCTCAGTTAAATGTACAAATTGTCTAAATTTTAAGATCCTCCAGGCCCAGCAGCTAAAACATAAATCCTGCTTTCAGCATACTTGACAGGGACCAAGGAGTTAATGAAGATAAAAATGAGAGCATCCTCAGTGAAATAGGTTTGTTCAAATTATTTCTGGGTCATTGAGCTTCCATTTCATGATGGAGGTAGGGATTTGGCATTGAAGGGAATGAGCAGAGGGAACAGGATCATAGGTAAACAGGTCTAAGATATTAGAGTTACTTCCACTTGAGGAAGAGGGCTTTTATTTCACAAGGACCTGTCAGCCCTGTCTGCTTTCCCATGGAGCTGCTGTTTTAACAGACCGATGAGGGAATTTAGGGGCTCAATTCAGGGAAGAACCCCATTTTATATATGCATTTTTACCCCCATGCGTGGCTAATTCAGAACACTATATGCATCTAGCCAGCAGTTGTTACCTTCCTTAGGTGACATAGGAATTCACATAAGGTGGTGCATATTTATAGGAATAGCAGTGGGAGATCTGATTCAGAATCAGATTGCTGGGTGGGTAATCATACTTTTAACAAAACTGCTTGATTTGGCTTTTACTTTCGCAAGATGGCATTTTATTAGGTTGCAGACCCCTGGCCCATTTGCTGCTGCCGCCCAGACACCTTCTCTGAGGCTGAAAGGAATGCTCACCTGGCGGAGGAGCAGGATCAGCACCTCCCCTCCTGCCCTTGCTCAGCAGCTGCTCCCCGTGACCTCAGTGGAGAATGTTTGGGACCTGCACTGTAGGCAGTGAGGGCACCCCCGCGGGAGGTGTAGGCAAGAGTTGGAAGTGGTTTCTGGAGATGCGTCTGGAGTACAGTGTATTCTGGAAAGCTTCGGGAGACGAGCGAGACTGGCCAGGACAGACCGATAAGGCTGGTGAAGCAGGACACACACGAGTAGTCTCTGCCGACATCTCCTTTTACCTGCCTTGACCGAGGCGCAGATTGCACCTGTGCTTTTTAATAAAATGACATCTCCTCCTGAGTCAGCCAGGCTTTCTTGAGTGCAGTCAACAGAAACCTGCTCTGATTAACTCAAGCAAGAAAAGGGTTCGGTTTTTGTCTTTGTTTTGCTTTCTAATGATGCTGGATGCTCAGAGACTGGAAGGTAGAGCTGATCTGCCAGGAGGGACAAAAACCAGGATAGCTCCAGGGGCGTCCAGAGCAGGATGACGGTCCTTTGGGGACACTCTGGGGGCCCAGAAACGGCTCCAGTTAATCTGTGCAGCATGATCTACTGCGATCAGCACATTCTGCTGACTTGTTATAGATCTCTTCCAGTTTGGGTGTATGAATACCAGCTTGGGGGGGGGGGGGCGGATATCTTTGTGCACATACGTAGTAAAACGGCGTAAAGTCATCGAACTCCAGAGCGTACTGTGAACAAAAGGCAGGCGTGGCGATCCGTTCTGATCCCCCGCCCACTCCCACCACGCCAAGAAGCAGCAGCAGAGTGCCTCAGATGTACGAAGATCTGTCATTGGGAGCCACAGTCTAACATCAGTGTAGAAGGGGAAAAGGGAGGCTGTAATTTGGTACTTTTCTAGGGGGTTGGGGCCAGCTTGGCTCATCGAAAGCAAAACCAACCTTTCTTTGTTGGCTGGAGGCATCAGGGCTTCAGAACCCATCAGAACCATTAGGAGTGCCCAGCTTCCGGCCTGGGCACTGCGTTTGACTTGAAGCATATACACGTATCCCTTTCACATGTGCGGACCCCCAGATAGTGCATGCGTGGGAGGGGGAGCTAGAGGAGGGAAGGGAGGACCAGTAGGTGCTCAGGGAGGGTTTGCTGCATAGATACGCGGATGACAGACAAAAGCATCTTTCTCTTCCATAGGTATCAGTTTGTCCATCTTGGCTGCAGTGGGACCTGCTGCTCAGGGAAGAGGCAGTCAGCATTGGTACTAGTCTGATGCCAGAGCTGTCAGAACAGTTATCGCCTTAACTTCTTCTGGCATCTTTGTGAGCCTTAGGTAACTGGCTGTATCCTCTAAACACCACGTCCTAGCTGATAGGAAATATAAAGTTTCAGCCTCTTACATAATCTTTAAATACACTGTGGCTGGCTCTCTGCTCTGTTGGGGGGTGGTGGGGGCTGTTTTGGTGTTGTGTAAGTTAATAACTCATGATATAATAAATCCTGTTTCCGTTCTTTGAAGGGATGAGCTCAGCCATCCAAAAATAAATCTAGCTATGTTGATATTTAGTTTCAGTTAATCTACCACCTAACATCCCATTATTAATTTTCTTCAAACAGTCAAAATATTGTAAGAGTTTAACTGAGTCAGAGACTAGAACAAGCAGCTGGCTTCTTTTGGCATTTAAAATATTAATCTACAAGTTTTGACTGATTCACTAGGTATACGAACATAGAAAAGAAGAAAAGATGACGCCTCAACCATGATATTTGAAATATACCTTGGTATTTTATAAATTAATCTTTATGTTATATGATTTATAAGAGAGAAAACTCATTTATCAATCTTTCTAAATACACATTTTAACTAAGCTTTAATTTCTTTAACATATTCATGCCTTGCTTTTGAATGACACATCTTTTTTAAACCGTTCAGACACATTATCTCATTTTGCCCTATCAGAAGCTCTCGCAGTGGGAAAGACTGTTGAACAGCTAACCTGCTTAACTATTCTGGACTTCAATTTCTCCACTGGGTTCCATAGTTCTCAAACTATAGTAGACCCAAGAATCACCAGTCTAGTGTGTGGGAAATGCACATCCCTGGCAGACAACACAGAAATTCCGATTCTGTAGGTCCAGGATAGAGCCCAAGAGGCACAGCTGACAGGTGCCCCACCGAAGCCTCAGGTAATCTGTGCAGCAAGTTTTGAGAACCAGTATTCCAACCCTTTGTACCCTTGAAGTTCCAGCGAAGGCCAGTCTGTTTGAGAAGTCCCAGCCCTGGCGTCAGACTGTTTTATGAGCTAGGTTCCTAAAGCATTTATTCACTCCCTCAGTAAATACTCTGGGCACCAGGAGAGAAAAGCATGGTCGTGGGTGCTGCTCAGCATTGACTGAGGTCCATGTACTCGTGGAGGCTGTGTTGTGGAATGGGAAATGGACGGGACACCAGCCAGTTGTTGCATCATATGATGGTAGATGGTGATAAGGCTAAGGGGGAAGGAAGCAGGGCAGGGGCTGGAGAGAGAGAGGGGTGCCGTGGGAGTGGGGCTGGGGGTCAGGGAAGCCCTCTATGAGTAGGCACCTGCTGGAAGTGGGCCGAGGTGCTGATGGGTCCAGGAGGGGCAGCACAGGTACAAAAGACCCTAGCGGGATGACGGTGTGTGTGTGTTCGGATAAAACCAAGGAGGCAAGGATGGCTGGAGTGCTGGGAGCCAGGGGAGGAGATGAGACCGCAGAAGCCACACCGCGGTGGACCAGACTCACAGACAATG